AGCTGTTTGCAAACTCTTTCTCCAGGGATACAGTCCTGTGGGACCCACCGGCACAAGCCCCACTGGCCACCAGGACTAGATGGTGAAGAGCTGTCCCTTGTCAGCAGCTGCAAAAGTCAGGGTGACAGACAGGGGTGTGAGCTCCTTTTCGTGTGGCACCAACTGGTACAGTCCCATGGAACCAGCGCAAGCCCCACTGGCCTTTAGAGCTGGGCAGGCAAGAAGCATCTCCTGGGGAGGCAGCCACAAAAATCAGGAGACCAGATGCACGTTCACGTGGACGTACCGAGGCTCTGGGTCATGGCAACGGGAGAGCTTGATGCTGGCGCCCAGCAGGCTCCCTCCCTGGAGAGAGTTCCCGTAGATGCCAGGTGTGTGGGTTACATCAGATGCCTGCCCCTCAGGCCAGTGTTTCCAGTTGGTGAGGCTCCCTCACTTTGAGTCCGGGGGATGGGCTGCTTCTGTGCTGGGGTAGGTAAGTCTGGGTGCCTAAGCCCCGTTAAGAGCTGTCTTCCAGATTGTTACAGTCTCTCAGGTCTCAGGACGGGAGCCCTCTTGGTTTTCAAAGTGAGATGTTTTGGGGGCTCATTTCTTACTTGCAGGTTCTAAATGTTAAGGTGGTCGAGGAGTTTGAACGCTTTGCTCCTTGAGGGGCAGCCCTGGGTTTTGAGTTTTCTCCTGGTTTTGGGTCGCTTTGCAGGGGTGGGGTTTCTGGCCTGTCCTGCCTGCCAGGTGTGGTGTTTTCTCATTTGCCTGATGTGCAGTCCTAACTCTACCAGCCTTTAGATTTTTGAAGGAGGAAATGGTCCCGTATGTCGTTGTAGACTCAGGGTATCTGTGGGAGGAGGTGAGTTCCGGGTCTTCCTCCATCAGTACTTGAGCCACAAGAAACCCATGCATCACTGTCTCGAGCTGGAACCCCACGGTGTAAACTTTTGATACTATTTTTATTTCTTTTTATTTTATGATCCACAATGTCTATATGGAATTGGGCAAAACTTTTTTTCTCCAAGTCAGGGTTCTCAACCCCTGACACTGGGGCTGGATGAATCTTTGTTATGGGACACTGTCCTGTGGATTGTAAATCTTTTGGCGGCATTTCTGGCCTCTGTCCACAATGCCTGTAGCACCCACCCAAAACTTTCCAGACAGAGTCAGATGCGCCTTAAGGGACTGCACTGTTCCCCTCACCCCTACCCCTGGAGCGTCACTACTGTCAGTCTTACAGACTGCAGCTTCCCAAACCGTGTGCCCTGGAACCCGCAGGGGTGTTGTGAGGATGCAGATGCTGGTGCAGCAGTGGGAGGCCGGCTCGAGATTCCGCGTTTCTTACGGGTGCTCAGGGATGCGAATGCCGCCATCCCGGGCTCCGCACTGAACCTCACGCTTGTAGACGTCCGCTCATTCGTATCATTTGGGTGAATTTTCAAGAGGATCCAATGGCAATAATTACAGAAATAGTAGTGAACTTTGAGTGAACTGTAGCCCAACAATCTAAGACCGATGGAAACTCGGAGAACAAGCTCTGTCCCTCCATCCCCACAGATCGCAGCTTCCTTTCCTTTTCTGCATGTCCTTCCAGCCCTAACGTTCATTTACAATCCAACTCTAAGGGTGGTGTTTGCCAGAATCTTACCAAGTTCACCCAGACGGTCGTGAATGGAGGCAACCTTATGTCCCACTGGGTGTTTTGAGTTAGGGTGCTGTGAACGTTCTAGCTCCGGAGAGCCCTCTTGGCCTGTTGAGAGGTTAATGGTATTAAATTCAGACTGCGAGCTCTGATCTGCTGATGCTCAATCTGTCTTTTGTGTGTGAAGGTGCCCCTTCTCCTTGAGGACTATTGACTGGACCTAAATTCAGCACGGCTGGAGGTCGTTTTCTTACTACAGGTGTTCTGAGAGTCCTGGAAATAGGTTAGGTTAGGGTTATTAAAGCTTACCACTTACAGAGAAATGTTGTCCTATACTTCTGTTCTCAGAATCAATAGAACATGTAATGAAAATCCTGGAGTGAAAAAAAAATCCCCTGCATTTCATCCGGAACCCTTAAAATAGTGATCGGTAAGCAGACTCATTTGTCACATTGAGAATGCTGGATACAGAACACATTTCTTCTCCTCTGCAAAATAATTGATTACGTTCAGAGCTTGATCTTGCTGTTGCTTAAAATAACCCTCTGAGAATGGCTGCAGAGAAGATTCTTTTGAAAAACGGAATATAAGTCACTTTCTGCTTAATTAAACAATACCAGGAGACGTGGAAGAGTGGATTGACTGCCCCAGTAATGCCTTAGTCACAGACTGGGGACGCATAACACATTGTAGGTCACTTCTACAAGCCTCGTTGAGGGCATTCTCTTATTTCATCCTTGTGGCAGCCGGTGACGAAGAACGGGGGGCTCTAGGCAGTACCCAGCAAAATTTAAAACATGTATACCCTTGACTCAGCAGTTTTAGGTCAGTGGCATAGAAATCCTTGTATAAGGGTGGAAAATAGATGTAGAGGGATGCTGACACCGCATTTTCCCCATGGTAGCCTGGTTAGAAATAACCCAGGGTTGAAGGCTGTATGACTGCCCGTCAACGGTAAAAGCTTAAACTATAATAGACTCATAACTCAGGTCACTTTGCACCATGTGAAGGAAGAGTGGGGAAGGATAGGCTTATACTGACGTATAGGATGGCATGCAAACAGCAGTCACAGAACTTACAAAGAGGAAGACATGTGCTCTTTGTGTGTGTGTATTTAAAAATGTCCATATATTGAACTTCACAGTGATTACCTTTGGAGGAAGGAGAGGGGAAGGAGAATTCCTACTCGTAATGTGCTTCTGGTTTGAATCCTGGCAATGATCATGTATTACTTTTGTAATTTAAGCATTATTTTGAGAAAAAACAAAAATGATCCTGGGTCCTAGTTCTACCGCTGCTACTCAGGTTAGACCAGTGGTTCTCAGCCTGGGGTAGTTTTGCAACCCCCTTCCTACCCCCCACATTTGGGAACAACTGGAGACATTTTTTGGCTGTCACATTGTGTGGAGAGGCCAGGGAGGCTGCCAAACCTGTAGTGCACAGGACAGCCCCCATGACAAAGACCAAACCCCAGATGCCCATGTTGCGGAGCCAGGAACTCGCGGGTCAGACTCCAGGGCTGCCGCCATGGTCAAATAGGCAGGTTGTGCACCTGACGGTATTGGGGACTGCTGTTCAGTGTGAGGTGTTCTCTGCGTACCACAAACCTCACCATTGTGATATAAGGGAAAGTAAATGTGAGCATGTGTACCCCAGGAAGCAGGCACTGGTTCTTTCTCCTGTACTGTTAGCGCCCAGTACGGACACTGGCGCATTGAGCAGCCACTCAGTGTTGGCTGAGCGAGTGAAGGAATTTAACTAGATACCCCACGTTAGGCTCTAATATACCCAGGTTGGGGCAGATGCTGAAGATTTAAGAATTTGCAGATGAAAACTAAAATTATGGCAGATGTTGTCTGTTAATTTGTCTTAAGACGAGAATTGACAAAAGACTGCTAATACTTGTCATTCATTTTAGAACACCTTTGGTTCACTTTTTGATAAGAAAATCCTTATCTTTTTGATAGGAAAATCCCGTTTCTTCTTGGAGGAATGCCAGTAAAGGACCCTATTGCATCTTATCTTCCTAGATAAGATTTTTAAAATCCTTTGCTTTTTGGCTGCATACTGACTTTAGTGGAGAAGACCTTAAAAAATTTATTTTTAAAATTTTAAATTTATTTTTAAACAATCCTTACACCTAACGTGGGGCTTGAACTCACAACCCTGAGATCAAGAGTTGCATGCCCTATGGACTGAGCCAGCCAGGTGCCCCTTAAAAAAACATTTTAAACTACTTTTGGCACTGTCTGACCTAGTAAAATAACGTACATTGTGTTTCACTTTATCCGTGTAGCAGTGAGACAGCAAAGCTGAAGGTATTCTTTTATTAATGTTTTATAATGGAAAAACTCAAATATACACAAAATATTTAAGAATAATGAGTTGATGAGTCTTTTTTGCCATACACTTCACAATTTTAGACATCTGCCAACAGATACCCTTATTCATATAGATTACAAATTGTGGCGTATGAAGGCTAACAGCTAATTAGTGCCAGTGCTCAGATTAAGGCTCTCATCATCTTAAAAATTGAGGAGCAAGGTTACATTTTTTGGAAAATGTATGTGGTTTCACTAAATGACTTGTGAAAGTGAAGGTTTTTCGTAACACATTCTCCTAATTCCTCCCAACATGAGACAATTCTGGAGCGATGATATTCAGACTTAAAACAGAATTTGTAAAACCCAAATTTAAATCCTTCAAAATGTTCATGGCATTATCCGTATTTGTACCTTTTAGGTATTCAGTTTTGTCTCCCCCTTGCTAGTTGTATCTTTACTATGGAAGGATTGTCCCATTTGCGCTTGGTCCGGATCTTACTCTATTTTTAGAACAAGCTCCACTGCTTTGCTCCCTTTGTTTTTCTGATGCTTTTCACAGGTTGACTTTTTAATTATTACTATTAGCTTTAGAGGATACAGACTTGAGGAAAGCTTCTAATTGAGCCGTCACTGTGCTGTGTCGAGAGCACCCCACATGACAGATCCCTCGCTCTGCCTGCTGTTGCCAGGTCCCACTGCCTAGAGTCCTCTGCAGGGAGATGACTTTGTTGGGCTATTGGGGGAGTTTTAGTCAAAACCAGTCGATGTGCAGGCAGTGGTTGTGGGATCTCTAACTTCAAGAGGCTGTCTCTGGTGACTTTAGTCCTTAGGAGTAAATTCTTGCAGCCCCGTGACAGTGTCTTCACAACTGGTGACAAAATTCTGAATCATTAGAGATAAATGGGACTTGTCGCAGGTGCTGACCCATTTTTTCCTTCATGTACTCCACACACTGAGCACCGCTTGTGTGCCAGCACACTGTTAGGTGCCAGGGTCATGTGAACAAGACACCCCCTGCCTTTGGTCTACACCACAGTGGGGAAGACAGACCTGGATCAAATATAGCCAAGATTGTACCATTGCACTGCCGGTAAGGAACACGGTTTATACAGAGGAACCCAGTGCAGACTTTGGGGGGTGGGGAAGAGCCTTGAGGAAGTGATGCCTGAGCTGGGATCTGAGGCTGAGCAGGAGGAGGTGAGGTGAGGAGGGGAAATCATCTCCGGCAGGGTAGAGGAGCGCTCCTTGTTGGAGGGAACTGTGCGGTGGGCTTGAGAAGCTGAGCTATCAGTATGGCTGGAGCAGAGAGCAAAGGGGACAGTCACACCAGAAGAAGCTGGGCAGTATTTGACCTTAAGGATTCGGTCTGTCTTCCACAAGGAAAGCTATGGAGGAGTTTTAACCAAGGGGCTACCACCGCATCTGTGTTTGGAGAAATCGCTTGGGTATCCGCACAGAGAACTGACTGGAGGGGACTGAGAAGCCACGAGGAGCCTGCTTAGGGCAGTAGGTTTGCTCTCACCCCAATGAGAGAAGCGGACAGCTCATGCTAAGTTGGTGGCAGTCTTGGGGTAGGAAATGGATCGATTTGGAAGTATTTAGAGGTAAGCCCAACAGTTTCCTGATGGATTGGCTATGCGGGTGAGGGAGAAGGGATGTGCAAGATGGCTCTTAGGTTTCAAAATTGTAACGAGGCACATGGTGGACCCACTCACTGCAGCAGGCAGTACGGTCAGGGACCATTATGGTGAAGGTCAGGAGTTTGGTTTTGTCCGTGTTGAGTTTGTCGTCCCTTTTACAACATCCGTGTTTCACAGAGACCAGATAATTGTGGCCAGCAGAGGTTGTCAGGTGATTGAGTGGTGCTGAGCTCTCAGGTGAAGGTTCTCAGCTTTGCAGTGTCCTCCCTCGTCACCATGCTGGAAGTAAGGAGCAGGGTTACATGTCTTTGAGACTATGTGTGGTTGCACTAAATGACTTCAATGGGAAATGTTCCTCGTCGCTGAGAGATGGGACCTTCGGGTGTAGAACAAGAGGCAGGGGCTGTGTGGGAGATTTGGATGCCCCATGAGCAGTCTTTCCTTAGGTTCACTTTAGTTCCAGTGCCCTTGGAAATGACCTTTTGGGGATTCTCTGGGATAAATATGTGGAGAACCAGAATAGAATTTCTAGGATCTCCATTGCTGAGTGCAATTTCACAAGCCTCCTAAAAAATTTCTAAAAATGATTACTGGGTACCTTCAAACAGAAAATCTCTGTGAAAGCAGGGGTTGGATATGTCCGTGCCAGCAGATTTGAAAGACCATCTGTGGGACTGGTGTTTCTGAAAGTGTGTCCTGAAAACTTCAAGTGTCTCTGAGATCTGTAGGTGGCCAGCACTGGAATTACATTGTTTTGCATACTGTTTGCAAACTAGAAATGTAAGATTAGTTATGTTTTTCTCCCCCTTTGGAAATCCCATTGTGTTCTTAATATTTACCTTCAAAGGAATGTGCTCGGAATGAATTGAGTGTCTTAGCTGACATGTTAATGGTACGGAGTTCAGCTAGATGTCACATGATTTAAGGGTTATTATTGACATTGGCTTATTTTACTTTCTTATTACTGTCATGTTGCTTTTACCCCATTCTATAAAAAAGACCTGTGGCTAAAGGAGTGAAAATGACTAGTAATGTACAATTCAGAATTTTGCCATAAATATAGTGCGCGTATGCAGTCTAAAGGTCTGTATGTGTTCTGATCCATCAGTCTGCAAATATGGTGGTGTCACGTGTGCTCCCAAAAATGGAAAGCAAAACCACGATCACCTGGAAATCAGGTTTCACCCTCTCAGGAATCCGTTCCCCAGTGCCTGGGGTTATTTTATTGTGAGACTTCGTCAAATAACGGCAGCCCAGAAAACACTTGTGACATTTTCAAAAGACAGTGGCCTCTGGTGAACCAATTATTTCCTTAAATAAGCATAATACTTCATAGTATGAAATTTATAAATTTTGTTACCAAAGTCAGAGAGAGACTAAGATGCCAGAGACATCAGTCCAAGTTGGATTAATTCCATGTGAGGAGATTGGGTTTAAGGTCGGTTGCAGGTAAGAATTTGCAAATCCAGGAACAAAATTATTCTGTGTGAAGAGAAAACAGAAGTGACTAATAACAAAATTCCTTCATCAAGTGACACATTGGATGTCATGTTAATAGCACGCCACGCGGGGACCGTTACTGTCGTGTGTGTGTTCCGATATTTTGCTTTTTGGTCCTACAAAACCATGAATGTACAGCATGAATCGTCTTCTAGCTTCTTCGTGGGACATTTTGTTACCGGGAAGAAGAGCTGTTCGTTTTACTTTGGATTGTTTTGTGAGCCCTGGTGTGGATTGGAAGAGTTTGTTGAGAGCCGCTCTGCGGGCTGTGGCGGGGGGCATTGCTGGGCGAGTAATTGGGGTGGCCCTGGGGTGCCCGTCCACACACTGTCCCACTCGCAGGTAGCAGCTGGTGGAGACCATGTGCTTCCTGACTGGTCAGTGTGGGACAGAGTACGGAGCTGAGAATAAGAGCGCGTCACGGGCACGGGCTGTGTCCCTCAGCCGCCTCAGGATGAAACGGGCACGGGGGGTTAGCCTGTGCTTTTCCATCCTGAGACACCCTGATGCTCCAGGGGGCAGGTGCTCACCCCAGCCCTTTGACTTGGGGGATTTGAGAGGAACGTTTCCTTGTGACACTGACAATGCCATTTTCTGACTTCAAGCGTTTGCAGGTAGCCGAGCGCACTGACCCAGTCATATCTTGAGTAGGCAGAGCTGGGCATTTGAGGGGCAGAATGTGCTCTTCCCCCTTGACAAAAAGGAGTCAAGGTCAGAAAAGGAGGGAGACGGAAGTGATGGGGAGGGCAAATACACCAAATTTAAACAGTAATTCTCAAGCAGCCACACTCTCCAGAGAAGCTATAGGTTTCTTAAACTTGCCCACACCTTGATATGTGCTCTCCACGCAGGCCAAGTGCTAATTTTTGGTAAATGTTAGAAATTATTTATTAGGATAAAAGTGAAATAGTGTTTTAACTGAAGAATTGGACCTTAGTAATGAGCTATGGTGTGATCATCTCACACATCCAGCTTTTTTCTTTGCTGCATATAATCATACAGCTAAATAAATTCAATCTTTGATTGTTTTACAAAAACAGGATTTTTTTGTAGTTTCTTTTTTCCCTTTACCAGTACCACATGGAAATCCCTATAAGCTTTTGGTTGTGTCTCGTCAGGTGTGACTTATTACAAACTTCTTTTTTTGTTGTTTGAAAGTTTAGATGTCTTTTGTGTGGGTGATAGTTTCAATTAGAGTTTTTAAAAAATAATTTTTTAAAAGATATTGTTTATTTATTTGACAGACAGAAATCACAAGTAGGCAGAGAGGCAGGCAGAGAGAGGAGGAAGCAGGCTCCCCGCTGAGCAGAGAGCCTGATGTGGGGCTTGATCCCAGGACCCTGAGATCACGACCTGAACCGAAGGCAGAGGCTTAACACACTGAGCCACCCAGGCGCCCCCATAACCACTTTTTTTTTTTTCAAACTGCATCCAGCTTTATTAAAGATACTTTTCATAAACAATCATGGTATTTCAGGCAGGACATGGGCAGACAATCGTTAGCAGTATAAACAACTTTCAAACTCCCTTCTTCAATGGACTACCAAAATCAGAAAGCCACTATAAAACCCAATGTGGTCTTCATGTGATGCCCGGAGCAGGGAAGTTTAGAGTGAGGGCGGACAGTTCACATTTAGCATGTTGTTTAACAACTTTTCACAAGCCGACCCTGACTTTCAGGAAATGAAATGAAAATGGCAGGATTATCCATCTGAAGACCCACGAGCTAAAGAAGGAACTCTTTTGAGGGACGCCATCTCAGTGGTGACACTTAGTCAAGTCCAGATTGCCTGACATACTGGGAACCATGTCTTGGGGGTCAGATTCCAACAGGCCTCTGTGTTTAAGGGAGTCAAGTCTATGTTGAAGGCAGAGAGGGAGAAGAGGACATAAAACCTGAATTTTAGTTTTTTCCACACCACCAAGGGATTTGTGCCCAGGTGGCTCATGTGTGTCGACGTCAAGGAACCCCTCCTCCTGGGAGCCAAGAGGAAGTTTCTCAGAACTAGGAGGGAAAGGTGTTTTTCCCTTTGTGTCCATCCAGCTTCAGAGATATTCTATTAGTGACATATGCCTTTCCCCAAAACAACAATGAAGTGTTCTGTGTGCTAACAATAGCTTAAAAAAAAAAAGTAAAACAAAACTCTGCGTTTTTATAAAACGTGATAAAAATGGTATTTCAAACTGTACAGTCACCAGAAGTACACAGTTATCAAAGATGCACACCCTTCCCTTGGCATCTCCAGCACCTCCAGCTTTCTGTGCCTGGTCTGTTTTGGCCTCTCCACTTTCTGCGGGTTATCCCCATCCTTGCTGGCTTCAGCTTTCCCCTTTTACCCTTTGGGTACCTTCTGTCCCTCTGCTGGGGCCTGTTCAGGCTTGGGCTCTGGCTGTGGAGGAGCAGGTTAGCAGGTAACCCTGCAGATCTTCTCTGTGGCTCGTCCTTCACCTTGGCTTTACCTCCTTTACCCTCCCCTCAGCCTTTCTGCTGGGCATGGTGGCGATGGCGGCGGGACGTAAGCGCTGGACGCGGGGATACAGCGGTGCGCGGGCTTTGGCCGGTCCGCGGGTCGTTCTCATCTCTTCTTCTTCGTCACACTGCTCCCCATAACCACTTTTTAAAAATATTTTATTTATTGATTTCAGGGACAGAGAGTGCACAAGCAGGGGGTTGGGAGAGGGACAGAGGGAGAAGCAAGCTCCCTGCTGAGTGGGGAGCCCGATGTGGGACTTGATCCCAGGACCCTGAGATCATGACCTGAGCCCAAGGCAGCTGTTTGACTGACTGAGCCAACCAGGCATCCCCATGATGACCATTTTTAAGTGTGTGGCTCAGTAGTGAGAGTTAAGTGTACTCACATAGTTCTGTCACACATCTCCGGAACTTTTTTTTTATCTTACACTGAAGCTCTCTACCCGTGGAACAGAAACTCTCCCGCTGCCCCCCTCCTTGCCCCAGTCAGCACATTCTACTTCCTGTTTCTGTGAGTTGACCACTCGAGAGACCTCATCTGAGTAGAATCATGCAGTGTTTGTCTTTTTGTGACTGGCCTATTTCCCTGAGCACAATGTCCTCAGGCCTCGTCCACGTCGTCGCAGGGGTCGGAATGTCCTTCCTGTTCGAGGCTGAGTGATATTCCAGGCTGTGCATCCCCCGTTCTGTACATCTGTTCATCTGCAGGAGGACATCTGAGTCACTCCATGTCTTGGCTGTTGAGAATGATGCTGCTGTACACATAGGTGTGCAAACATAGCTCCAGACCCTGCTCTCCCTTCTTTGGGGTGTATGCCCAGAAGTGGGACTTGTGGATGATATCGTAATTCTGTTTTTAGTGTTTTGAGAAAACTCTGTACTGTTTTCCACATCGCTGCATCATTTCACCTTCCCCTGACAGGGTACAAGGGCTCCAACTTCTCCACATTCCCTCCAACACATTTTCAGGTTGTTAACGTTTCACGAGTAGCCATCCTACCGTGTGTGGGTGACACTTGGTGATTTTGACTCACATTTGTCTGATGATCAGTGACGGTGAGCGAATTCTCACATGCTTGTTGCCATTTTAATGTCATCTTTTTTTTTTTTTAAAGATTATTTATTTATTTGACAGAGATCACAAGTAGGCAGAGAGGCAGGCAGAGAGAAAGGGGGAAGCAGGCTCCCCGCTGAGCAGAGAGCCCAACGCGGGGCTCAATCCCAGGACCCTGAGACCATGACCTGAGCTGAAGGCAGAGGTTTTAACCCACTGAGCCACCCAGGTGACCCTTTAATGTCATCTTTAGAGAAATGTCTATTCAAATGTCTATTTGCCCATTTGTTAAAAATTGGATTATTTGGTTTTTGTTGCTGTTCATTTGTTTTCTATTTTAGAAAATAGAAATTCTATTTTATTTTAGAAAATAAATAAATTCTATTTTATTTTAGAAAATAAAATTCTAAAATAGAATTTTAGAAAATAAAATTCTACCCCTTATGGGACATATGATATGTACATATTTTCTCCCATTCCCTAGGTTGCCTTTTCTCCCTGTTGATTGTGTCCTCTGATGTTTAATTTCTAAAATTTAAAAAAGGTACTTATTTTTATTGAATGAATTTGACATGTACCATTGCATAAGTTAAAGGTGTGCAGCATGATACTTTGAGGCATTTCTATATGGTAACGGGGCTGCCATTGTAGCAATGATGCTCACGTTACATAATTACTGGGCGGTACTGTTTTCTCTAAGCTTCACACTGTGCTTCGGATCTGCATGGCTTACTTACTGCTTGTTACAAGTGTGTCCCCTTGGGCACTAGCAGGCTTACCCCCTACCCATGCAGACAAGTTTTTGAGTTAGAGGTATTCCCATCTGTCCATTTCTGATTTTGTTGCTCATGTTTTTGTTGTCATAAAAGCAAGAAATCACAGAGCACAGTGTCAGGAAGCTTTTGCCCTGTGTCTTCTTCCCGGGGCTGTCCGGTTTGAGTTCTCACATTTGAAATCCGTTTTTTAGTTGATTTTTGTATATGGCTTGTGGGAGTGGTTAGGGGTCAACTTCTCTTGTGTGTGGGTATCCTGTTTTCCCAACACTGTTTGTTGAAGAAATTGGCCTTTCCCCGTCAAGCAGTCTTGGCATCTCTGTACACTATGTACGGTGTCACTGGTGTCATGGATGTGACCCACTCTCTTTGTCTCTGTGGTTCCCAGATATGTGCTAGAGTCCGTACAGAGGCCACCGTCCTTACCAGGTGCCCTAATATGTTGGTGCCTGTATTGTTATGGGAGTGGGGCGTGGGGTTGCCGGACCAAGGGAATATATACTTTTTGATAAATTTTGCAAGGGTAAAATATGACAAGGGTATATTTCAAAAAGGCAGTAATACTTTACGTCTCTACTCCCTGTGTTTGAGAGCAGTAGGGTTCTTCTTCATCAGATCCCGGGACTGCAGGCTTCAGAAGGCTTCTCCCTGGTGGGATCATATCTGTGATGAAAAGAGATGTTTCTCTTTATCAGTACGTATGTTAGTGCTTAACATTTAAACACATAAAGACTCCCCCCCTCTCCCTTTCCATGACCTCCAGAAGCCTACTGAGTGGCAGAGTTCTGCTGACCTGTGCTTACCCTATGGAGGTGGAATCAGTTGAGGAGGAAAAACCCGGGCTTTGGAGATTAATCTGGCTTCAAAGCCCAGTGCCAGGTCGGCCTCCCAGCCTTTTGCTGTGTGATCCTGGGCCGATGAGAGCCTCTCACACTCTTCACTTGTGAAAGGTGTCCGTGCATTTGCCACTGACGCCGCAGAACAGTGAGGCGACTGTTCAGTCCTCCTCACACGTGGTCTCCAATCGCTTGGGCTGCGGAACGACTTACTGCCACCAGGGTGGCTTGGCAACAACAGACTCCTGAGAGGCTGGAAGTCTGAGACGAGGGTCCCCCGTAGCTGGGAAGGGCCCTCTTCCAGGCCTGGTCTCCCCACATGGCAGAAGCAGCTGGGGGCTCTGTCTGCAGGCTTCTTCACAAGGCGCTAGCTCGTGCGTGAGCGCCCCACTCTCATGCGCTCAGGACTGAGGTCTCCCTACTGATCCCATCACCCAGGGGGCTTAGGAGCTCAGCATGAATTTTAGGGGGCACCAACATTTACACCGTAGCCAATGTCATTTTCTATTTATCAAGATAGTTCTCAAAAACAGACTAAGACGCAACTGTGGCGACAGTAGAAAGATGAGTGGTTGCTGGGGTTGTGGTGGGCGGGGAGCCATGAAGGGCCACAGCGCCAAGCTTGCTGAAGGCAGCGAGAGCCCCGAGGACGGTCCCGTGCTGGTGGGTACATGTCCTTACACACTTGCCCATACAGAGAATACATTACGCCGGGGGTGAAACGTAGTGTAAATTATGGACTTTGGGTTCATCCGCGGACACAAGTGTACCACTGTCATGGGGGTGTTGATGGGGAACAGGGAGTCTATAGAAAATCTCTACACCTTCCCCTCAAGTTTGCTGTGAACCTTGAACTGCGCTACAAAATAGTCTCTTAAAAGTAGTTTTTACATTATTTTTATGATCATCACAGTAGGTCTAGTTAATATCTTTTACCACATATACTTACAGTTTTCTTCTTTAAATTCTTTTTCTTCTGATGAGGAATTTTAAGATCTACTTTCTTAGACACTTTCAAATATTCAGCACACTATTCCACTGTACTCACTCACTGCGTATTACATCACCATGATGTCTATTTTACAACCGAAGTTTTGGGCCTTTTGGTACCTTTACCCATTTTGCGCACCTGTTCCCCTCTTGCCTCTGCCAACCAGCTACCTGTTCTCTGTGTTTGTGAGCTTTTGAAAATAAATATTCCGTATGTAAGTGAGATCACTCATGGTCTGTTGTTGACTTAGTATAATTCCCTCCAGGTCCATTTGTGTTGTCACAAATGGCAAGATTTCCTTCTTTTGAGTTGAGCTGGGGTAGTGTCAAGTTAGTGTTTTCATTTTCTTCAGATAAATGCCCAAAGTGGAGTTGCTGCATTGTAGGGTATTTCTATTTTTCATTTCTTGAGGGTCCCCCATGCTGTTTTCCACAGTGGCTGCTCTAATTTTTCCACAGTGCTGCAATGGTGCACAAGGGTTCCATTACCTCCACATCCTTGCCAACACTCATTTTTTCTTGACTTCTTTTTATAAGAGCCATTCTGACGGGTGTGAGGTAATGCCTCAGTGTGGTTTTGACTTGCAGGTCCCTGATAATCAGTGATGGTGAGCATCTTTTCATGTACCTGTTGGCCATCTGTATGTCTTCTTTGGGAAAAAGTCTGTTCCTATTCTCTGTCCATTTAAAACTGGATTGTTTTGCTAGTGAGTTGTAGGACTTCCTTATATATTTTGGATATCAACCCCTTATCAGATATATGATTTGCAGTTTGCAGATATTTTCTCCCATTCAGTAGTTGTCTTTTTATTCTTTTAAAAAGAGGGGCAGAGGGAGAGAGAGAATCCCATGCGGGCTCTGCACTGAGTGTGGTCCCCACTGTGGGGCTTGATCTCACGACTCCAAGATCATGACCTGAGCCAAAAC